TCCTTTAGCCACTCCTGGGAGAGAGGCAAGTTCTCCACCAAACCATCTCAGCTCCCAACAAAGAGTTCAATCACGGAATTCTGACATAGCTTCTGGCTTCCTCCCGACACCTTACGGCCTCCCATTTTGGAGAAGAGAGTGCTGGAAGAAGTGCTTTTTGGTAATTCTGTCTGGTCACCCGAGCCAAAACTAACGGATGCACCAGAGTTACGGAAGGGCAAGGAGTCCCGTTTTTTGTTGCGTCTACATCTTCACCTTCCCTGCAGAAATGTACCACCAGCTTAAAAGGGACTTTTGCACAGGAACAGCCCGCTCCAACACGAGCTGACCTCACTTGCTGTCCCGTGATGCTGAGGTCGGCTGCTTCAATAGCCCGGAATCCTCCACAGCTCTGCTGCTTCCACATAAATACAGAGGGCGAGAAGGAACATCTGTCAGTAGTTATTTCGTCCGGGAGATCAGAGACACGGGCGAGGTACTTCAAACACTACTGCAGGACGCAAGGAAGACCAGGCACCTCATCACGACACGTGTAGCCCACCGGAGGTGGATTGCCTCGGCATCAGCAGGCCCCTTCATCATTTTTATACCAGCAGAAAGGCCTTCTGAGGAAAGGAATTCACAGAAAACCCACGTTTTCCCAGGTAAGACCATCACGCCCAAACCCATACCTACCTGCAACTGCTTCCTCTGAAAGACAACTCATGCATTTTGAAAAAAGTTATTTTATTTTCACTGCTTTCATCTCTCTACTGTAGTGTTAGCACTTAACAGAAGCATCCACTCTTCTACTGACCTATTTACAATCCATTGAAATGTATACTCTACAAATACAATACATATTTTCAGAAATGTAAGGGAAACGCACAATTTTGTAAGGTTTAAAAAAGTGACACTCATCTGTACAGGATCCTCCAATCATCCAAAAAGTAAAATTTACAAGGCAGTATCCACACAGCTACATAAGGGCAGGTGCTACAGTGACAAAGCAGCAAACTTGCTAATACAATAAAATACAGAAAATTAAGTGTTTTGGGGCACCAGATGATACATTTAGTACCGCTGACGTTGTAAATTTAGTAATACCCATACTTCTAGAAACATGTAACTGCAAACCTGGAGAATGTTCTGAAAAATATTAAACATTATATACACGAGGTAAATGTACCTTGGTCTTTTAAGAGGTAATCTGAGTTTAAAGCAACTGATATGGTGAAGTTTTTTTATTTTTAAAACACAAAATGATTAACACCTTGCAATCATTTCAATGGCACAATACAAACAAGGAACTAAAAGGTGAATTTCATGGCAATCACACTCAGAACCATTACTGAAAAAAATAAAATAGCCTCTTACTTCATTTGACACCTTCATGTCCCCATACCGTCAATCCCAATGTCTTTACCTATGTACAAAGTCTTTCTTAGGATTAGTGGAACCATTGGAGGGTGACAGGGTGTCATACTTGTAAAGTCAGCTTGAGAAACATCCCAGAATTCCAGCTTTAAGGTTGGAAGGTCCCTGAAGAATTCCAGCATTCAAAAAACAATGTTTCGAGCTTTTCGGCTCGAGACCATTTCCAAAGCTCCTTGTTCTCCGTGTCCACATCCACCTGGTCACATGTCTGTAAACCAAACTGAGGCTTCAATGCTACTAAAATGTCAAATTGACTAAAAATCGACAAAACTTAAGTGAATGTATAACGTGTGTCATATTTACAATAAACATTTGCATCAGTATTCATCAGAAACTGTTTTGGTATATACTTGAAATGATACAAAATTAATATTTTGAATGCTAAAATATTTTGGTCCCCCTGGATTTCCAAGAGCAGATCTGGTGATATTACAATCTTAATTTAAAAAATACGTATGTGTACCTGTGTCCATATATATAAGATATGATCTCACACAGGTAACATTTAAAGTTACATAATATATACAGACACAGCCTTTGTAAAAGGTGTTCACTTTATATAATGGAAAAGAAGAACAAAGCTTGAAGCTGAGGTGTCAGAACTGAGGATACATATAGCTCTATTCAGAATTTTCCTGCTCCGTATTCCAGTATGAATAATAAGGTTGTCCCAAAATACAGTTCCTAGTGTCACACACTGTACCAACCATCCTTCCTGGGCTTTGTTTTTGCAGGCTTCTGTGACAAAGTGAAAAATTAGAACAGGTAAGACTATTTGCCAGCAATTCAGGAGAATGAAGAGTGGAAGGTGGCTGAGATGGGAAAGATGTTGCAAACCACTGTACAGCCGACTGAACCGTCTGTGTGCACCCAGTGCTGTTCAGCTGCGGCGGATTCTCTTTTACACGCAACACAACGGCTCCCTGTATTTTAGGAAACTAAAGGTTATGGCGATAAGGTTTTGTAGCTGCTAAAAAAAAAAGCCACTAATGAAATTATTTGATGAATTATACTGGAAGCCCTCTCATGTTACCACCAAGACTACTACAAAGATCTGAAGCATGCCAGTAGCCTGATGAGTCTCAAGTAGGAACTATCCCGTTTGTATCCAGGGTAAAGGCCCAGTCACACCCACGAAAAACTCCACGGTTGAAGTTAACAAAGGGTTTAACTAGGAAGCCTTTGAAGCTCGCATGGAGACACAGCAAATTCTGCTTTGGTGCCGAGCTGTTTTCTTTACCTATTTGTCTAGCTACATAGAACTCGTCAGAGGCATGCCAAGTGACACACTTGGGGCTCAGTTATAGCCAACCGTTTTTTTAGAACAGCCATAACTGAGGAACTCTGTGGTGCACAGACGTCCGTTGGCACAAAGGCACGGCTCATTTAATATACCTGCATGAAGTCATTTTTGATCCAGCTTGATTGACAGAGGCCTGAAAGCACATAAGCCTGACTGGCCAGATCATGCCTAACATAACCGTGACAGCTGTACACACGTTTAAACCCAATTATTTTCTAAGTACCTATTTTTTCCTCTTCCCCTGGATGTATTCTTCCAGCTTAAGTAACTCATCCATAAAGGTGAGCAAAGCATCGCGTTATTGTCAGTTCAAGCTCCGAAGGCCTGTAATTCCCACATCACTTAAACCCACCTCCAAGCAAGCACGGAGAACGTGCAAATACACAAGAGCCAGCGAAGCGCCAAGTCTCACGTCACCTGTACAGCCTCTCCTGACTAGGAGCCGTCCGTCTGCGTGCTTGAACGGACTGTCACGCACCACGGAACACAACCTCGACTCTGCTTCTGTTAGCAGCCGCCCTGCCGCTGCCGCTAGCATTGTGACATACTCTCCGTGGACTGCAGGCTGAAGAATGAAGAGGAAGCAGAGTTAAGGCTGCTCTGGTGTCGCGTCACGGGACGGACACCAAAGCGTCCCAGGGCCTGGGCGGTCAGGTGGCCTCTTATCGACCAGGCACATTCAGGTACTGAACTGCAACTGTGTGTTCTGGGCATTAACGAAACCAAAGTCAAGCAGACTCATCCTAAAACAGCAATTAAAAAAAAACCCCAAAACCTGGTAACAGCAGTGTTTTAAAGAGAATTTGCCATAGTAATTCCCCCAGTCCCCTCCAGAAGCTGTACGTTTGGGCAGGAAGCAATTCAATTCCTAAACAAGTTTGTGAAAATCTTGGGATATCCTTAGAATCTGAGGCAAATCTTGACTAAAGCCATGCATATCTGCTGTGTTCTCATGACAACACAAGCCTCCGTCAGCTTTGTTCTTGTAACTATGAGGAGGATTGATGGAATCCTCTGGTATTTGTATCCAAAGACCTGCAGCTCACCACTTTTGTAGCTCACCACTTTCTGTGTATGAGGCACACACAAAATATATGCACATAAAATTTATAAGCAGCTTTGAACTTTCTAGTACAAAAGCCCAAATACTTCTCCTTAATTACAGGTGCACTTAATCCTCATTTAATTGCAAATACTCTTCTTTGAGCCTTAAGACTCTGCAGAACTGCCAAGAAAATATGCATTTCATATTTGATTTAATGGAGCAAAATCTCCCTTAAGAACATCTTACTCCTCTTGCTACTTTTCTGAAGTAGATAGGTACTCCAAGCATTTTAGAAGTACCACTTGATAAAAAAATCTTATATATAATTATGACTCATGACTTGACAATTACAAAATATGTCAGTGAATTAACTAGCTTACACAATTTAAAACTCCTACAGTGGTTTAAAGGGCCAGATTTTGGTAAAATTAAAGGTATTCCACAAATTATGGACTCACCGAAACGAGTATGAATTAGATCTTAGCTAGGCAAAGGAGCAGTTGGTTTTGAACTTGTATTTTTGAAACCAAAGTACCATAGGCTTTGTACGCTCCTACTGTTTTGCATTAAAAGACTCAAAAGTGGCACTTGCTGGCATAATACAATCTATTTTGAAGGCAATGTAATGTTCTGAAAAAGTGGAAAACCCCCAGTAATCATGTATAAAGTACAGTTGCATAAATTATGTTCCCACAACTGAATGAGGTCAATTTGTAAATCAAGGTAAGAGACCAAACGATTTACTGCCCTAAGAGCTAGCAAAGTATATCCCAACAGTACATTCACAATCTGAACCAAAGAACTGTGACAGTGGTTCCGAACAGTCAATGTACTGGCCAGGAATAAAGCTGCTTAAAGAGCCACCCATGCACTCTAGAACGACACAGTGAACCAGCTCCATTTTAAAAGTGACCTCCTATTTGTAGCACAGTTAACTAGAAGTTAAGACCAGCTATCAACTTTCCAAATAAAAAAAAATCAGAGGTTAATAAAAATAAAACTAGACTACACAATGTTTTGTAAGTAACCTGGGAAAGAGGTTCATAGTGCACAGAAAGGACCCAACACAACTGCTTAGCACGTCCACAAAAATCCTAGTAAGTGACATTCCTATGAAGTACTAAAAGGCAGCGATATCCTTCTGTTCCCCCAGTGAGGTAGAACAATCTCCCTTCCTAACACGCCCCTCTGGTGCAGATATGGATTTTACAGTATCCTTCGGCAGCAAGTCCAGGATCACATCTTTATCCCCTCCTGTTGGCTGAGCTGCGACAACGTTTTCTTGATGCGCAGAGCGGTCAGCCGAGCGGCGCCGTTGGCGTACCAGCACTCCCGCATGATTTTCGCCATGACTCGCAGGGCCTGCAAAGGGAAGACAAGGAATTACCGGTACTGCTGCTCCAGCACGGCCCACGTCACCTCTGCTCTGCCTTAGCCCCTCCAGGCACGTCTGAAGACTACTAGCAGTACTGCAGCTGCGGGGAAGAGTGTGTTGTATAAAAAATTCAAATCCTTGCTTTATTTACAGGGAAATAAATTTCTTTAAAATACCGTAGAGCAGAACTGGTATTTTTGGGTAGAATTTCAGCCCCAACAAAGGTATTTTAATGAAAAACTAGTAGCTTGTCTGTAACTGTTTTCTGAATTTTCGCATTAGACAAAAATACACTCTTTTATTGTACCTCCAGTCAAGGAGTTAGGTCAACGTACAGCAATTCAGAAGTTTATCAGCTGTCTTCCTGAAATGGAAGCTCTGTAATGATTGAAAATTTTTTGAGTCTTTTTATCATTCAAACAGCCATTCTTTGAAATCTGCAAATGCTACTACACAAGTAACGATGCAAATAACATAAAAACTGAAGGTGAAATAATAGCTCTACATTCCGAGATTTTACACTCAAAGCTGCGCTACACTGAGCTGCTAAGTCAGTCTGCAGGGTTGGAATGGCAGCATTTAAAGAACTACTCCACTGTCTGTCGAAGCGTATCACCACCCTTCTCGCCCACCTGCATTCTCTTGCCCAAGCTCTTACCTCAGGCCTTCACCCATGTATCCGTTTCACACATGCCACAACCCAGTTCCCGCTTCCATCTAAAATATATCCCACCTCATCCATCTCTTACTCCTACTGTAGCCTCCCACAGCTATTCTCCCGAGCTCTGAATCAGACAGCACTGGTTCTAGCCCTAGCTGGGTTCCCGGGGCAAGCGGGATGAACAAAGCTGGCTGGGAACGCGAGAGCTCGCTGCTGTGCTTGCTACTGCCCGCGTGGGGACTACCAGCACAAGGAACTCACCCCAGAATCGGGTAAGCACTTCGACAGAGGCATGGGCAGGAGCGGTCGCTGCACACACACTTCAGCTCCAGGCCTTTGGCTTACTAGAGCCTCAGCTTCCTAATAACCGTGTTCATCCTTCAGTAAATGCAAACAGCACAAATTCTGAGACACAGAAAGTACTAAGGCTGCCACCGCTTTGGATTAAAATTCCTTAAAGGCAGTTACTATTTTGGCCAGTCTGTAGGATATTCCTCTACGACACAACGACAGGGCAAAGACCCCTGAGGGAGTGAGTTCCGAGCGAGCACTCGCATGAGGCAGCACAGCACGTGTTTCCCACCAAGCAGCACTGCCGGGCTGAAACTAGCCAGCCCACTTCTGGGCAGAGAGGATCAGGCTCGTTACAAGGCAACCAGCACAGACCTGTTCAGATCAGGTATCTCTATTCTCCCCGTTGGGGGTTAACCTAGTAGGGAGCTCACCCCCCCGCAGCGGGATGGGGAGAGAATCAGGAGGGCAAAAGTGAGAAACCTCGTGGGTTGAGATAAAGACAGCTGGCTATAGAAACCAAGCAAAACCAAAGAAAAACGAGTGACAGAAGAACAATTGCTTACCACCAGCCAGTCCCTGAGCAACAGCAACCCCCGGAAAACTCCCCCCTCCCCGTTTTACTGCCGAGCACGGTGTGCCGTCAGGCCGCGCGGGGCACAGATCCCAAACACGGCACCGCACGGGCCAGCAGGACGAACAGCGTTAACTCAGTGTCCCCAGCAGACGCAGTACAACCCCCAGCCACACCGTTTATTTGCAGTGGTGCTTCCCTACAATTAAGACTGGCTTTAATTGACATTTAGTGTCACCTATGCTTCACAGGAGGGGATCCTAGACTCCTCCATGCAGCGTGAGCCGTTAATTTTCAGGAAATTACATTAAAGACTAATGTATAACCAAGGATCAAAGACATTCCATAAATCCACAACGATCTGAATGAAATGAAGCGCCCCTAGAAGGAACCCTTCTCCCTTCAATACCAAGTACAATTTTTAAGCCTCTGAAACCAGTAACAGCTCTGGTGTCTGTTAAAGCAGCTCTAGGAAGGTTAGTTAATACCTCACAGCTCTGCCATCTGTTTGGAATATTGGGCCTTAACTTCTGCTCACACACAACTTTCCTCATTTCTTCAACAGAAGGATCTGAAGGAACAAGGTCATAGTATGGCAACTGGTAATCTTCGTGGATTCCTGCAATAGGTTGAAAATAACTTTATTTTAGCTAACACTAATTACATATACTTCACTTTTTACTACATTCCTTATCAGTACCCTACCATTTTCTTTTTTTTTTGCTTTTCATTTTTAAGAACTACATTACAATGACCGCGAAATCAAAACCCAAATCCTTAGCCATACCTTAGGAGTGTTTACATTACCCTTGAAGAATTTTTAATTTTGAAATTTATATATTTGGAAAAAGATGGAAGCCCTGTCAAATCTTTCATATGCTGTACTAAAGACACGCTTCTTGGAAGCATATGATTTATAATAGTATGTTTTATTTTAAGTAAGGTATGGATGTTAACTGAACACATTATAGCTAGCCCTTACTTGTGGTGTTTCCCCCTTTGCTCTCAGGGACATTTAACTTCACCCTTTTCTCCCCTCTATGCAAAGGTTTTAGAAAAAAATTTACTATAGACAAGGATATTTCCTAATCTCTTCAACAGGTATGTTCATCGATTTACAAAGAGGGCGAATAAACCAGCCCTCATTTACAGGATTAACATTTAGAAAGTCTGAGACATACTGGCTATTACCTTGCATGGTCTTTAGAGCAAACTGTTTACTCAAGCTTATTCAGGTTCTGTAAGTTACTTACAAATCCTTAGTATCTCGAATTTTGTAAAGAGTGCCACATACCACCGATGGAACATCGCCGAGCTATTTCCCAAAACACTAATCCCATTGCATAGATGTCTGCTCGTTTGAAGGACTCAAAATGTTTCATGTTTATGGAATCATCTAGAACTTCAGGTGCCATATACCTATTTGCAAAAAAAAATAAAAAAAATGAAAAAAGGAAAACATTTCATTTCATAAATACTTATTGTAGAGAAAGCTCAGTGCTATTGGTCAGCTCAAAACCACATTTAAATATTTATGTGGAAAAGGAGATAACCTGCTTCATTAAGGTTATTCAATCAAAGACCTTTCAGTGCAAAGGGGATAATAAGTAAACTGAGAGGAAGAAGCAAAGGAATAGGAGTAATAAGTAAAATGTGAAAAGATGAACAAACAGAGCCATAAACCTGACAGACGTGGGATAACAAGAGACAATGACAAAGAACAAAAGTGTCCAGTTGCCAACTGATGGGCTATTAAGAAATGCCAGACACAGCTTTAGAGAGGGCCAGTCTGGATGTTCTAACTGCTAACAAATGGGAAACAAGAGGAACACGAGGATTGTGGATATTCCAGGGAGGCCTGTGGGACTACACAATGCTTATCAAGGAACCGCAGAATGGTTTGGGCTGGAAGGGACCTTAAAGATCACCCAGTTCCAACCCCCTGCCATGGTCAGGGACACCTCCCACCAGACCAGGTTGGTCAAAGCCCCATCCAGCCTGGCCTTGAGCACTGCCAGGGAGGGGGAAATGTTCAGGAGAAGGGTAACTGGGAGGAACAAAAGCAGGACAATAGATAGAAAAAGATATCAAAGGGGCCAGCTGCATAAAGAGTTGCAAATCACTACGTTTGTATGACCAAGCCCTGCCCCTGCTCACCACAGCACATCCTATCCTCTTACTAAATCCTAACTACCCTTTGATGCAATCTTGCTCTCAACCTCATGGGCATGCGTGCTCTAACAACCACATGCCAGCAACTGGAAGCAGGTACGAGTGAATTCGGGGCTAGCACCTGGCCTCAAGAGTTGGGATGAAGTTAACCCTCGGGCCTGGCATGCCAGCCACTGGAGAGGAGGAGGGCCTTTTCTTCAGCAGCTGGAAGGAGAACTGCAGATCCCAGGAGCATGTGCCCACATGTCTTAGGAGCATGTATCTGGAGCCACTGCGGGGGGACCATGGTGAAAAAATTCTGGGTCTGCAACTGCAGTCAGATAGTGGGTGAAGCAACTGGAGCAGACGGGGTTTTCTCCTTCAGCCAGGGAGGTGGGACCATGGGCCACAAGCTTCACAGTGACATGCTTACAGGTGCCAGCTATAGGGGAGAACCGGGACGAGAGAAGCAGAGTGAGAGCCGCTCCGCACCAGCAACTGGAGCAGGAATTGCATGCAGGTTGTAAGGTCTACGCGCTTGGGCACCAGCTGCTGAGGTAGGCCAGCAGGTTTGCACTCCCCAACCTGGTACGGCTGGCAGGTGTGCATGGGTGCAATCCACTAGCAAACTTCAAGCTGGTCTAGCCAGCAAACAGTGGCCCACGGAGGGATGGCTGACAGGGGGAGGGCCTGGACTGGTGTTTGAGGGAATCCATGCATGTAGGTGTGCAGAGGAGCACACGCATCTGTTGGCTACTGTGCCTTAACCCAGGCCAGCTGGTGAGCAGGAGACCTGTGGAGCACAGAAGAGGGCATCAGACACACCAAGGGTTGTGCTGATATTTGAGGGATTCATGAACAGGCACGGGCTTATGAGGCTACAGGAAGGGAGCGTGTGTTTTCACTAACAAACTTTAAACCTGATCAGCTGAAGAGAAGGCAGGAGACTTGGCTGTCTATACTTGTATTTTATTCAAGTTCTGACAGTGGTTTATGTGGGTGTTGAAGACTGCACAGATTGCTGTGCACCATGTGCTATCAGCTCTGTCAGTACTGCATGTGCCTGGGTATGCCCAGCCTCACTACTCTTTGAATCTCAAATAAGAAAGCAGCAGCCAGATCCACGGGCCTGGGCTGGACAGAGCCCCAGCCCTTTGGACACACCAGGCTGGGCTCCAGCGGTCAGGGCGGAGGAAGCCCCAGCTCCTGGAAGCTGCCAAGATAAAGCAGCCACTTACAACATTCCCTAGCAAGACTGCAGGGGGAAGAGGCATGAAGGGTTGGCTAAAAGAGCAGCACTGTTAAGGATTCCTTGGGAACAAAGGCTCCCTAACGTTGCAGTAACTGATTCTTCATCATACAGTCTGCAAGTCCCACCATATACCTTGCCAGACCTTTTTTTTTTTCCTTTCTTTTGAATAATAAATCCTATTTGGGTTATACATTAATGACTGTGCTCACAAGAAAAGTTCACTTTATCAACATCTCCTGCAACCAAAAAAAAAATAAATATCTGTGACAGACTTTCAACTGAGAAACAAGGACTGAAAACTGGTCATGGCATCCACGTGACTGTTACCTTGTTTAGTGACTAGGCCTAATCAACACCAAGCAAAATGTCAGTGTGGATCACATTGTGAGAGTTACTGACAGCAGCCTCCTTGCTGGCTGCGGGAAGGAATGAACGGTATTTGCTGCATCAGCCAACATCAGCGGTGGCACCGCGCTCCCCGTCTGCTACAGCTCTGGCAGCCCAGTCCGAGGTGTACTGTTTAGCAGAGCGCAGTGTGTTTCTCCACATCACTGCCCCGTCATTCTCAGGCTGACATATTAACGAAGCAGGCAAACAATGACACCAGGGCACTGGAGAGCACAGTTAACTGGTAAAAAAGCAACACGCGCAGATTACTGGTGGGGAATACAGTGTCAGGCAATAGCCCCGCCTCTGGAACGGCCACAGAAGCCTATGCACTATTTCACTTAGTCACTGTAATACTAGGATTTTCTTTTCCTAGCACAAGGGTGGCACGTAGAACACAAGACACACTACTTGAAATAAATTTCAGGACTACCAGGTCTTTCAGCACTACTGTGTCTTATGGAAGTGACATACATACAAGGAAGCAAGGGCTATTAACAAAAGAGCAAAAATGCAACCAATAGTCCAGAACTCCAACTAGGGCTGCTGACGTGAGAGTTCCCCTAAGCGCTGTACAGGCATATCGAAATCCCCCACAAGCAGAGGACAACTGTCTGAAGAGGAACATAAGGTTTACTTTGACAGTATTTACTGAATGGAACCACAGTTTTAAGTTAAGTTTACACGTCACAATCTTTGACACGGACAAGCGTCAAATTATTCTGGGCCACTTGCATCAAAAACTTTTAAATCAAGAATGCAAGATTGTGGTGAGTGTTTTAAAGCTTTCCAAGGATTTTGCACTACTGGATAATCTTCTTATGCTACTTCAGGTACTTGACAGTATAGTGATCAGCTTTGGGTCTAGAGGAAAGAGTATTTGACCTATCTTAAGATCACATGGGGACAAGAAGAGTGATGGAGCTGGAAAAACCCCAATCCAAAAAGTCCAACCATGTTGCAAGACTGTCAGCCAGAACCACTTACACAAGCAAAGGAGATTGCCTCGATTTCTGTAAATCATCTTAAGGACAAGGGTTTTCAGAGGAAAGACCATAAAATGCCTGAATGCAGCAATGAAGCGGAATTCATGCCCTCTTCCCCCCCACCCCTTTTAGTCACCTAAACTTCTTGCACAACATATAAGGAAGCTTGGTGTCAAACAGGACCTATACACCACATGTTGAGTGTGACATCATCCTTTCACCAAGCCTGTTCTCCACAAGCACAGATGTAATTCTGCTCATATATGGCTTAGGTAAACTGCAGAAAAGCACACACATTAAGGTGGAATTTGCAGACAAACTTCTTTTAAACACAGCCTGTTTTAACTACCAAGAGTAGCAGTTGGGCCACACTTCCCAAAAAGAAACAAAAAAAAAAAAAGAGAGAACAAGTCTGTTTTTTTTTTCAGTTCCCTCAGGCAGTGAGAAAGGGATTCTATTTCCTTCACAGTTTAAGGCTCACATTCCCTGCTTCATGCTGCAGGCTGAGCTGTGAAAGCATGCAGTTCACACCCTCTGGTAACGCTAAGCCTCTGAACAGAAAAGAAATAGATTCATTCAGTTAGAAAGAAGGCTCATCAGTCTGACTCTGCACCTAGATCGCTCACCCAAGAGCGAGTCCTGCTGGCTCCCTAGACCACATATTTTTGCAACCGACAATCATTAGAAAAATATAAACTTAGTCAAGTCTCCCTGAACGCGCGCGCAAGAGCTTCCACGTGCAGAAGAGGTACCAGCAGCAGCAATCAACGTGAGTTAAAACTCTCACTGAAGAGGTAAGATCTGAAATTTATTAAGGAAAATTAATCATAGGTGGAGTTACCTACCTAAGAATGTACAAGAGGGAGGAAGAGGGGACCAAGCCTTTTATGAGAATGAAGTTTTCAGAGGTAGCAGTGGCCAATGGCTTTAATGTGGGAACAGACTTAGTCCTGCCGCTGCCCACTGCAGCAAGCTGGAGCTCCCACGGCTCTACTCTTGTGAAGAGGCACAAGGCAGAGGAACAAGCAATTTAATAGTATCTATGCAAGAAGAGATCTTTAAGTGTCATCTCCAGACGCAGCTGACAGCATGCTCTCTCCAAAGACTAAAGAAAGCAACTGATTTTATGCAATTTTTCTTTGCATGCAGACGTAGTAGGAAACACTAACTCACACGTGGTATGTGTGCTGCACACAGCTACGTTTGCAATGACCAGTTCCAAAGCAGACTGCTCTTTTACTACTGACTGCTGGAGACTTTGAGAAGGAATAATGCCCCGTACTTTGTAACACAGTAGTAACTCAGAAAATAAATCTCATCTGACCATCTGTGTGGTATTTTTAAAGTTGGCCAAGGACTAGCACAGTAGAGCTTTAGAACAAAGTAATTTCAGCAATATAATTATCAGTAAAACAAATTTTCAGGTCATGTTCTAAAAGCTTTTATTCACTGAGCCTCAAAAAAGTTTTTTTTCTTTCAAAAAGCCACTGCTAAAGGGGCACCCTGGTTCGTTGTAAAACCCCAGTCACCTTGCTGCCCCCCCTCCCCCGCAGTATCACTCACTAAAGAGATATATAAAAAAATATTTTTTTTTATGTATGGATTGGAGGTTGAGCAACATCATCACGGAATTTTCTCCAACACTGCTAGGGCACACGCTGAAGTCAGTCACAGCCGCGAACCACTGGGCTTCCACACACTTCTCCGTGACGCGCGCACAAGCTTCAGTTCGACACGAGCTACGAACCTCCGGGCGGCGGAAGGACAAGAAGTTGCCCACACTGCGCAACCCTGTCGCTGCGGGTCCCCGCTAGCGCCGCTATCTCTGTACGCCGTACAGCTGCACAGACTGCTACGGGAAATGGATCTTCGCTTCAGAACAGCTTCCAGTTATTACTGTCTGAAGGTTCAGCAATGATAAATTGCAGCCAATAGGTTTAATTGCACTTGTATTGGGGTTAAACAGCTCTGAGTTCTTTTGAGGACAAGAAAATCCATATTTCCAAAATCAGAAGTAAGCCTTTAAAAGAAAGGGAGTATATGAACTCATCCCATTGATAATTCTATTTATACATTAGATGACAAAGATGACGCTGTTTGAAGTTCTTGTATTCCTCTCAAAAATATGATGCCATGAAAGCCTGACTCTGCACCTTGTACATCCTACCATGTAGGCTTCACACTGAAAAAGACCCAGCTTTTCACTTGCACTGTCAGTATCCTGCCTTACACTCCAGATTGGGCTGCAAGCAACATTTCCATGCAACACAGGGCAAAAAGAATAAAGATACAGCAGTGAAGTCTCTAAAACTGTAATTCATGAGATCTCCTAAGTGTTTTAATATATACTTCTGCCCTACAATATTTTGCAAGGTTTTGGTATTTTACACATACTAGTAATACATGCTAAGATTCAAGGTGCTTTTTAAGCACCTACTGTCTACCTAAATTACCAGCTGCCTGGGAACTCTACCTGCCGTTATTTACATTTTCCTGCTGCTTGTGTCTGTACCCACAAAAGTCTTCTAAATGGGACAAGAAAAAAAACAAAGCATTTTATTAGTCACCTTTACGATTTTACCTTTTTGTTCCCACTCTGTGGTTTGGGGCAATATCAATTGTGTCTGTAGCTGAATCGTGCCTAACTGCCAATCCTAGATCTGCAATGCAGCACGTTCCATTCTTTTTTACCAATATATTTTTTGATTTCAAATCTCTGTGGGCAATTGCTGGTTTGCCTGTAAGGGGAAAAAAAAAAAAAAAGAAATAACACATCTGTAAAAAAGATAATTGCTATTATTCTAAGCCTGATACAGATTTGTTTGAAGTTACAGAATTTCTTCCAGTTCTGCTGCTTCACGTGCATTAAGGTAACTCCTGAAGTCCTTCACTGTGGACGGGCTGGCTGTCCAGAAAAGTGCCTTACATGCCTACCGTATTACTCCGCTCTACTGCTTCTTTCCCTCGTCCTGCAAGCATTTATTACGTACACATACTACTTGCCACACAAAAGTTTCTAGCATCTCTGGAAGCAGATCCATAGTGCTGTCTCAAGCCAAAGTTACTACAGAAACCATTACTTAGTGCCTTCTTAATAGGTGTTTTGTAGAAGCATTGTTACATCACAAAACCTGGATATACCATAGAAAGGAAGGTAAAAAACCTTCCAAATTAAGAAGTTCTACTAGTTCAGAAATTATCACAGGTCCCAAACAGACATTTTTCAATTCACTCAGCTCCACAAGGGATCAATCCTGGATATCTGTGCTGAGTTCAGCTGCCTTCTCATCACGTAAGTAAGTAGCTGTGTGGAAAGCAACGACACCCTGAAAAGGCTGAATGTTCTAATTAAGAAGAGAATTATACAGAAAGAGCTATGTATGTGTCATTTTCAAAAAATCCAGTATTATCCACATGACAGGCTGAATAGTTGTTAAGATTACCTTGTGTGCCAACAATTTCCATGTGAAGATGAGCAAGACCACTGGCAGTGGACAAAGCTAATTTTATCATTCCTTCCACTGTTACTGTATACCTGTTCAGGTAATCAAAGAGTGATCCATGCTCATGATAATCTGACACCAACCACAGCTGAGTCCATGTACCATTGTCTGCAAAACAACACAGGCATGAATACTGCATGTACACACAAAAGACAAGCAAACCATACGTGCCACCTTTGTACGCTGCTTCTGAAGTGCAATACTCGTTAGTAACCTCAGTCAATTAGACTCTTAAATCTACTTCTGTCCCTGTAACATTTAAACGCCTCTGTAGGGGCTGGGACTACCATGCAAGACTTTCTGAAGGGCTTAGTGAGTATTCTTTCACTTAAACTAAGAGACAAATCATGGAAAGGCAATGCCACTACGATTCCAAGGTGAGCTAGGCAGGCCCTGCCCTCCTCTAGCTTTTCTGTTTGTGGGGGAACAGTGCTGAATGCATAATGCAAAACTAATCCTGTCACTGCTGGTCTAGTAGAATATTGTCCAGGCTGCACATAAAAACCAGAATACGTCTTTCAAGCTTTGCCCCGTAACTCCCCTCAGGCTTTCCACAACCTATACAGCCTCAGCCTGGGAGACAATTTCCACAGTTACCAGCAGCTGGTGGATTTTTCCTCCCAGAGCAGAACCTCGCAAACAACCACCGGATACATTACTTCAAGAACCAAGTCAAATTCCACCTCTAAGTTGCTGGCCAAAAATGAGGTTTCCAGGAGGCACAAGGGTGAAGAGAATGAAAAACACTGATTCTGAGAAAACCAGTTTGCTGTACAATTTTTCACTGAACTATGAAGAACAAGACAGGCCATAACACATTTGCAGATAGCCCAAGGCATACAAATGACAGATAAGAACTAAACTGTTCACAATACTAAACTAATGGACACAAAATACCTTGAAGCTTAAGCCACGGAGAAAAGACCATCAAAGAAATTCAAATCAAGAGGGGGGCAAAAGGTTTTTTTTTTTGACCTCGGAAGTAAAAATATACCCAGAAAAGAACAATCCTGCCACCAAAGAGATTTTCCAATTTTGTTTCCTTATAAAAGCAACTCTCATGTTGCAGACCTGACAAGTGTCCTCATAGCTAGCTACTTTTGCAGAAGTCTTTCATCTCTTTAAAAGACAAGTTATCCCGTAAAAAGTTTCAGGTGGATTTCTATCCTGAAGTTACATAGCCATTATTCCCTAAGAACAAGCAAGAAAACTCAGCACAAACCAAAAAGAGATCTCGTTATGTGGTAGTCCCTAAGGATTATCAAAGTGCATACTCAAGAACTAAATACGAAGAATAGGAAGGAGAGAAACCAATTCAGAAGTTAATTCGTATCATAAACACGCTGAAAAACTTTTAGTGTCAAAATAGGAGACTCTTACATTCCCTCTCCTCTTCCTCCACCCCCCTCAAAGAACATGCTCGGCCCAGAAAAGCCAGAGGTACAAAATGCCTGATCTACAGATCGACAGAACTGCCTTTACAGAAGTACTTGTGCTTGTCCTTAAATACTCTAAACCCTCAGCTGGGTGAGGGCAGAAGAAAAAAACCCAAACTTCCAACCATCTGTTCTACTTGGGTGTTTCTAGGGAGGACAGTGATGCCATTAAAAATAACTTAAAAAAAATAAATATGAAAAAGCCATAATTAAAAATTTCAGATTAGGGCAAGAGAGTTCTGCCTTGCTACCTTCACAGAACAGTCTCAACTAAGTCGTTGAACAGGCTAAAGAAAGGAGTCAAATGCTCTAACCTGTGAAAGACCGTTAAAAAGCTGCTATTGCAGCGGGAAAATTCTTATGCCAATAAAAGTGACCTATAAGCTTTTTTTTAAAAAACCAAAAAAGGCAATGAAAGATGATTTTTTAAAAAATCTTCACTTATGTTACAGTTAGGACTGCTGCTTCCCTTGCTACTCTGTATATCCAGCCATGAAACCACGGAACTCTGCACACTATTAACTGTGGCTTTTCCCAAAGAGCGCTATGGTCTCTGACAAGCCAATCCAACAGCATCAGCTTCACTGAACCAGTTTGACAGAACCGTTAGAAACAGGTCTGTGTTCACGGGCATATAAAAGGTGCTCTCGAATAGGTACAGTCAGAGAGCTCCAAAAAGCTGTAGAAGTTCAAAATAAACTAACTTAATCAGTTTAGAATATTCTCTTTGCTCAGCTTTACTCTACTGCTTCACCAGTTATGACCCTACCTTGCCTGAAATAATCCTCTCCTGGGCATTAACACTACACACAGACATTGCTTGATCCTTTGTTTGATTTCTTCTGTTTCTCATGAACGGGGTACCTTAGCAGGTGTCTGATCTAGACAACAAAATTAGATTACTAATTTACCTGCTTATTAAGTAGTCTACCAGACCTGTTGTGTTTAAACGGCTCTTTTAAAGATGCCACAAAGTTTCCGAAGAATTACCATCGCTTTGCATCAAGACTATAGTGTCTTTGTATAAAGTTTTTCCCCTCTTAACTCTAGGTGCCCACCTAAGAAGAGAACACACTGCTGATTACAGACCCCGCTACTTCAGTTTTATCTTATTCATTACCTGCAAGTCTTAACATTCAGTCTGTTTTCACCTTCCTTCTAAAGGAGAGAAATATCAAGCTGGGCTGACCATGCATTCTGAAAGGAGCCATGATTCCTTCCTATCATGTGTCAGATTTCTGCCCCTCCAACCAGGTTTTAAGGGACAGTGTTACACCCAAGCTTACATGAATAATATTAATTACAGACAAGCTGAAATGCAACAGTAAGTACAGTGTGCAGCTATTAGATGGGACCTACTACATTTGCTTTACCTTGCTATATTTGGCTAGCTCCTCACTCATTTAGCAATCTAAGCAAACACATTATGATGAATTTAAGTCTTCTCATACTGTTGACAATAGTTAATTATTACCAAGTAACAATGAACCTGACCCTGAGCATTTTTGGCTGCACAGTAAACAGCATCTGCCGTGAAGCTTTCAATCACAGGATTTGCATTATCAGGTAAGAAAAGTTAATTACACTCAGCAGCAGTTACATACAGTAGCACAGCCTTCCATGACAAAGTAATCCAGTTTAGTTCATATACACATCATGATCAATAATCCCAAGCAATTTCAGAACATTCAAGAGCATTACAAAAATGTAAATATATTCTTGGAAATCTATTTAAGATACTAATTATGGTTATTTCATCCGTTTACAAGAACTCTGAAAATATTTTAGACCATCAAAATCAATCAGAAGTAAAAGGTTTTTCTTTTGCAGTTTAACAAAATTTGAAATTCTGAGTAAAGAAGCTTTCAGATTTGCTGTTAGAAGACTAAGAAAAACATTACTGAAGTCCACGCAACATCCATCTTAGACAAGCTGCCTCGTGAAGAAAGGAATTTATAACAATTGCTTTATCAAATATATAATCAAGTTTCAATTAAAATTGAATTGACTGAACCCACTTAAGTTAAAAATGCTCTTTTCACATTGGCACTAGCAAAACAAAAATTTGGACGTGGCACGTGCTTGTTTTTAAACCAAATACTAAGTTTTAAGGTGTGACAGTATTGCTTGATAGAAGAGTTTTGAACCGCATACTTATGTTCCAAGTTGAATGTTTAAAAGAAGTTACAGAAATTGCCTAACTGCATGTGTTCTCTAGTGTCCTGCAGTAAGTGCTTCAAAGCAGACAGCGAGATACATCAGCCTTTTTTGGCACACAGATAATGTAACAGAATAAAACAGAGGAAAAAGCAGTGAAAAGATCAGACACAGATGGGATCTATAACTAGAAAGCTCTTAGAAATGAGATATCCAGGGAGACATCGGGGAGAACACTTTTGTCTGTGGCTGGACAAGGACTGGTATTTTGTTAGTGAAACACAGCTTGACTCTAGCATATGGAGACAGTCATCTGATTACACCGATGGAAAGCACTTGAGCCGTGTAGATTAGCAAGATCTTCCAGTCAAATTCCTTCTTCTCAGGCTAAGGCCAGAGCTTCAAAAAGAATAAATGGCTTAAATACTACTGTTCTCAAGATGAAGGAATTCTGATCATTTCTCTGCAGCATATTGCCTCACATCATTCTGGGGGATCTACTTACCGTGTCAGGTACTCTGACAGAAGCCAAACCTTTCACCTAGGGAGGTGCAGCTTTCAGTTAAGGGGAAGGAATGGAGAGGCCAAAGTATTTTAGTGCACAAAGTTACCTGAAAGTGTGCAGTGCAAGGCTTCACCTCACTCATAACATGAGCACAGACAGTTATGGTTACAGACAGCTCATCCAGGGAAGCTTTTAGTACTGCCAAGGGAGGTCGTGCCACTGCTTTTCTGCTAGTGGAATAGTGCAGACAGATATGGAATAGTGCAGACAGATAGTTCCTGATACACTTTACAATTAAGTATTTAGATTAGAAAGAATAAAACAAAAAACACACCCAAAACCCAAACTCTCTGTTTAGGTGGTTCAAAACATGGCAACACATGGCCCGGAAAGCAGTTTCCCTGACCGAGCAGTCGGCAGATACTCCCGACTAAGGAAAGAGCTCCCCAGAACACACACACATGCTAGCCTGACAGAACACAACGGCAGTTCAAATCACTCGCTGCTTGACAGCCCTCAAGCTGGCTTAAGAGCAGCACCTATTTCCCAGGAAATTTTGGGATGGGAAAGCAGACTGACTGGACCAGCTGCTTTTGAAACCGTACAGCTGTGGGGAAGCAGAGGAGGAGAATGTGTCATTAAGGCACACAGAACGTCTAAAAAGTGTAGTAGGACAAGGAGTGATGACCATAGTCCAGTCACAGGTTTTATGGCTCCACCACCTGAGCCCATCTCCCTGTGCTTGCAAAAACTTTATAATCTACACATGCACCCTTCTGCCTGAAGTTACACGCCCCCCCCCCCAATTTTACAACTACAATGGCCACCCAGATGTTCCCCAGCAGTTGTGACAAATACGCAGTTGTGTTAAGAAGAGAGAAATAGTTAATACCTTCACTAGTAGCAAGAATTGCAGCATGGCACTGGTCCACAGTTACACCACAGGCTACATGTCAGGAGACAGGAGTCCCCAGCATTCATGACGGATACATGAGAACCTACTCCTGAGAATTCTTCCCCATCTTATCACGGACGCTTTCAGCAAGCACCGAGTGGGGATGGCACAAGTAATTCCTTGTCCTGCCGTACCTCTGCAGTCACCTTTGCAAGGTCTCAGACACACGGTCAGATTCTCGCCGCCTAATGACTCTGCGCATCCCAGCGAGGCTGCAGTAACCCCCGGGCGCGTTCGCAGGCTGCCCCGCGGAGAAACAGACGCAATTTTTCTACAGCTATCCCTGCTGTGAACCATACTTCATCTGGCAGGAGGTGCCTAACAAGCACCTATCAGGTAACACCAGCACCTACCGTGACACACTGTTCACACGTGTTTTTAAGCCGCTGGCCTCTAAAGCCACGCTGCGAGATACTCGCTCCTTTCCGAGTGCCATG